GAGGCGCCGGCGCGCGTGTGGGAGGGGGCCTTGAACGCCGCCCCAAGGTTTCGCAGCTCCGAGTTAGTCTAAACCGACTCCTCCTCCCACTTCACCTCCTCTGGCCCCCGGAGCAGGCGAACTTTCTATCTGCGGGGGCCCGCGGCTCCTCCCTCCTTCCCTCTCCCGGAGGCGAACGCCCCACCGAGCAAGGTCAATGGTGCCTCGGGAAAGTAGTCGCAGCGCAGGCTCTTGGCGGTCCCAGCAGCAGACGCCAGCAAAGGTCTGGGCGCCCTTTGCAGTCCCCGCGAGAGTCCCTCTGCAGACCCGTCGCGTGGCGCCCACCCAACCACCCACCGCTCACTCCCCAGCTCGGAGTCAAAGCAGTCCCCTCTTATTAAGCAGAATAGCGCAGTAGTGTTTCCCTAATTTATGGTGTCTGGACACGGAAGGGGAAAGCAGCACACTGAACTGCAAGTGCTGAAAATAAAGAGCTTTCATTCAACAAATGTTTACAGAACACCTGGCATGTGCTAAACACCACGCGCATTGTGTCATTTAGCCCTCAGAACCATTCCCCGGTGCAACCACAGCGAGACAAAGGAATAGACAGAAACACAGCAAGGCACAGGGAGCTAGTGTAATTTACTTTCTGTGGTGACCTGGGTCCAGATCCACACCACGTAAGAAGCTGAGAGTGTTCCACAGAGAGGCACCTCGGCCTAGCGCGCCGGCATGGAGGGCTGCGCGGCGTGCAGGTCTGGGAGAGAGCACTGTAGGGAGAGTCCTGCCGGGATGTACCGGGTGCCCTTGGGTCGCGCCTCTCACCTGCATTCTCCCACCTTGGACTAGGGCAGACATCAGTCATTCTCGTTGTGCTAAATCTAGACGCCATAATTAATGCTGTTTTTTAATCCAACACCCAGGTCTTCCTTCTGAAACACGTTTTTTAGAGAATCGTCATATCACTGCCTTAAATGGGAAACCAGTATCAATGGCCATAAATAGAAGGTAAGAGTAAAAATAAACACAATGAAAACAAACCGAGGTTATTAAATTCTACTTGGAAACTGGTCCGCCAAGGCTTGAGATGAGCCCTCTGTGCGAAAGGGAGATGGACGAGGTTTGGAGAGGTGTTCCAGGCCCGTTAGCATCCAAGGCAGCCGGCCTCCATCCTGCTGTCTGGAGGCTGAAAAAGAATGTTCTCTCCGTGGTGCAATGAAGGGACATAATCCCGTGCCTCTCAGACCCCATTTTGCATCAGCCAAGGAATGACTCCTCCCTCCCAGGGCCTGGAACTGAGGCTGTCTGCCAATCCTCCTCCCACCAACAGACTTATCCTCCCACCTCTTGACAAATGGTGGGGCTCTAGGGGCACCAAACTGAAGGACCAGCTCCAGGAAATGAGAGAGGGCATTCAAGCCCTGCCTCTGTGACCTCTCGAATATTCGGCGCTGGGCCTTGTTTGTGTCGTCTGTAAAATGGGCACGATGCGCTAAAGTACTAACATGGTCGTGGACTTTGATTATAGAGAGTGGCTTGCTCTGCTTGTCCCTGTGCAGTCTTGAGATTCTCCAGGAATGTTAACCGGAGACAATGGGGCAGGTGGAGGGGGAAGGCGTCGTCGGAGGGCACAGCACTTGCCCTACTTGTGTTTAATCCCCTAACTGGAGAAGTGAAATCTAAGGGGCTAAGGCAGGGGTCCTCAAACTACGGCCTGTGGGCCACATGCAAATACAAATATTGTATTTGTCCCCGTTTTGTTTTTTTACTTCAAAATAAGATATGTGCAGTGTGCATAGGAATTTGTTCATAGTTGTTGTTTTTTTAAACTATAGTCCGGCCCTCCGACGGTCTGGGGGACAGTGAACTGGCCCCCTGTTTAAAAAGTTTGAGGACCCCTGGGCTAAGGGACGGATGTCCCCAAGGTCACTCAGCCAGCAAGTGGCAGGATCCCAGCCCATGTTCTTTCCACATCCAGAATTTGCTTCTAGGAACTGGCTCCAGCCCAGGAGGATTTGCGCTCAGCTTGACGCAAAGAGGTTGCGAACCTTGAGCTGGCCGTGAACTTGGCAGAGGGAGGCAGGCAGGGTGGCACACTTCACCTGGAAGGCTGAGGTCAGGCTGCTCAGGCCGCTGGGCCAGTCCCCCCACCCCAACCCTGGTAATGTGGCAGGTGGCCGGCTCTGAGCCCACCCAGGAACCCGTCACCTGTTTCAGCAGGGTTCTTCACCCTGAGTGGGTCACGCTCCACTGACCATATCCCCATATTGAGGATTGCTGCATGTGGAGCTGTGGGGCCCTGGGAGAGCCACCTGCCCCTGTCCCTGCCCCTGCCCCTCCCCACAGACGCAGAATGGCCAGTCAGTAAACAGGTGCCCATAAGGGATCAATGCCCCCAGAAGCATCATGTGGCAACTGTGTGCCTCCCATGTGTGCCCCCTTTCCTATCCTCCCCCCCTTTGCCTCACCATCTCTCGTGGACCAGTGGTCAGAGCCACCACCTTCCTTACTGGGCTCCCTCTCCCATAGCCCATGACCACTTGAATCGTTTTCTATTTTTTTTTTTTTAAATTTTTTTTTTTTAAATATGTCTCTTGGTGGGGTGGGGGTGGGCTAAAGCCATAGGAAGAAAAATGTGTTTTCTAAAAATGCCACCGCCTGCTCAAGAATTTTTAATGGCTCCCCATTGCTTAAGATGTAAAATCTGAACTCCTTAGCTCAGTATAGAAGGCCTCTGACCAGGATCTGATTCTCCCCATGTCCCACCATCAGCCTGAACTTCAGCCAAATCAGACCCCTTCTGGGTCCCTAAAGAACCTGGGTTCCCTCCTCCAGGCCTTTGTATGCTGATCCCTCTGTCTAGGATACCTTTTCTCTCTTTACCCATTGAACTGCTACACTTCCTCCACAGCCTAATACCCACACCTCTACCCACGGCGCTGTGAACTGCATCCTCCTCTGAGCTCCCTTGGCAACAAAACCTGGGTCACTGGGTACAGCCTCAGTTTCTTCACCTGTAAAGTGGGTCTTATAATAGTAGCTATCTCGTGGGTTGTTGGGAGGATTAAAATTTACTGTGAAGTACCTCAAATGGGGCCTTCATCATGATTACTTCCTGTGTGGCCTGGGTTACATCCAGCCTCATGTTTGGGACACATGCCTGTCACCCCCGTTAGCATGTGAGCTCCTTGGAGTGGGGACCGGCCTGATTCAGCGTTGTATTCCCACATCACTAGGGGCACATTGTGATTTTTTAATAAATGCTGTTTGTATTCTGCTTAGCCGAACAGCCTCAGAGCAGAAGAATTGCACAAGCTCTCCTTGGAGACAAGAGGAAGGAAGGGGTGGGCAGGACAGCGAGGCAGAGTTTCATTTGGTCCTAACAACCCCACTTCCAGAAGGGGAAACTGAGACTCAGGAGGCTGTTCCAAGCCTGGCAGCCAAGGAGAGGCTGAGCGAGGACCCGAGAGACATTTCCCCAAAAGGACATAAGGTGTTCGCCCAGTCAGTGTCCTGTCACATCCCCAGCCATGTTGCTAGAAG